TTTTAAACTAAAAACTAGGTCTCCTGTGGCCAGTAGCCTTAATGAGTTTTGCTGAGACAGTCCCTTACACCCTGTGTTGATTTATTTTTTTTTATTATTATTTTTTTGCAGCTATCTATTTTTCTTTCTATAATATTATGCAAGAACGTGCCTAGTATTTAAGTGTAGATTTCACTAATTCTTTCAGCAAGGCTACAGTGGTGCTTTTTGTTGTAGAAGTATTTTTCTGTTTGTTACATCTTGGCTCTTTCAGCAATCTAAATGCTTTTATTGCTGCCTGCTACCTACATCTTTGGTTTTTTCCCCTTGTCCTTTGTCTACTTTTGAGGATCATTTTAAGTTGTTCCTTCTTGTTCATCTTTAAATATATAAGTAATGTGTAAATACATAAGTAGTACCATAAGTAAGATATTAATGCTTTTCTAGTGGAGGGGGAAAGACCATTTCTGCTTTCAAACATTAGGATAGGGTCTAATTCAGAGTAAACATGTTGTCCAGTCCCAAACTCAAAAATTATAAGAACTTCAAAGGCAGCATGTTTGGTAAACAGCTTAATGCCTCTGTTCCTATTTGTATGCTGTATTAGTTCCTTAAAAAGCAGGATTCTGTGAATTATAATAGAACTTGAGCAGTAAAACTAGTCCCTGCTTGAGTACGTAAAAACTAGGTCCCCAAACCAGCCAATCAGGAAGTAGTGTATGTACCTCTGTATATAACATTCCCCTTTTCTTGTTTTCCTTCTTTCTTTTTTCCTTTCTTTTCTTGTTTTCCTTCACCAAAACATTTGGCGTTTGGTGTCGGATTTTTTTTTTTTCCTTTAGAATCGGCAGCCGCTGATAAATCAGATCAGCAGTGTCTCCAATATCAATCTGTCTTTGAGACCTGGAGTGCCAACACAGGTGAGAGAAATAGTACTTTTTAAATAAAAAAATCACAGTTTTCTTCTTTATCCCTTAGTGTTAAAGATAGTAGTAGTGCTATGTGGTAAATACATCCAATAAATACTGAAAGTTACATACAAATAATGCAATCTATGTGATAAGAATTTTACTGTTTTTATTTCTGAGAGTGTTTCCCATGTTTACAGGGGTGGATGGTTTTTAACTAGAGTTATGAGCCAACTGCATTTTTAACCAAGCTTCTCTTTTCCTACAGATGCATTTTTTTTAATGAGCTACTCTGTTGGCAGTTACAAATTGCTGTAACATTAAACCCTGGTATTATTTCAGTTACTGACTCTTGCACTGTTGGAATTCTCTCCCAGCAGAAGTATTAATAGGATTATTTTCTGCCGCTTATTTTTATTGTTAGTCATTATTGTGGGTGGAAAAAGAAGAGCTGGAGTCTTCCAGATTGCTCCAGTGGAGATGCCTGCTCTGGTCAGGTTGCCTTAGAAGGGGTTGTTGATAGGTGGTGGTGGTATTCCCTGCAGGGCCCCATCAACGCGCAGATGCTGGCGCAGCGGCAGCGGGAGATCCTGAGCCAGCACCTGCGGCA